TTTGAATTATGTTATTTTTCATTAACATAAACTCTATTTTTAGTTGCAACAGCTCATGCATGTCCTGTGTCTGCTGCTGGATAATTTATTTTTCTGTTGTTTCCTGCCAAGAAACTTTTAAGTTACTCTGTCAGCAACTCAGTAAGCTCAAATGTAAATATGGACAATTTGGCAGCCCAATATATGACCCATGGTATCTGCATCAAGAGCTGCACACAGTTACACTTAGACTGGTAATTTGAAGCTCTGGGCATTTGTGCACAAAGAACACAATGAAAGTACTGTGCAAAACTGAATTAGCAAGATAATCTATGAAGTTGTTGAAGTGTTTTATCCTAATTTGTACACTATTATTTGACATGAAAGCTACAGTATACTGTATATGGCTGAAACAGAGGAGTGTTCACAGTTAGCTGATTGTGGCTTAAGAGATCCAACAGGACATACTGTACACCACCACCCATAATATTGTGTTTTATTACATTTCCTTCATGAATTGTTTTATAATCTGATACCACAGCTTTATGGATGTGACTTCATATTTCTAAGTTTTCCTGTGGTTTTGTTAAGTTTTATTACACTGCACTTCTACCATACTCAGATGGGACCGTGCACACAGAGTACAAAAGAATGTTGAAACAGACTGATTCCCAGAGGTATTCTGTTGTTTCATTAAACCCAGTGCTCATTGAAATTACAGATCCACAACTAAATCCAACTAAATCTACTACTGCATGATGGCATTAGTAACTCTTAAGCAATAAATGGAAATATCTTTTAGCCTAATCCAATTCTTCAAGGTTAAATATGTGAAATCATCCAACCACATTTCCAGCCACAGCACAGTAATGGATTTCTGAGCCAGCAAATGTTCTGCCAGATAGCAGTCTGAACCACCCTTAACATTAAGCATAAATGGAGCATAGCAGTAATGGTATATACAGATGTCCATTATTATGCCCAAGCAAATCATTTTTAAAACCTAGTTTTCATAAACAAAACCGGCAGTATTTACAATTCATTTACAGAATTTCTTTTTTTCTGTGTTTAATAGAACCCATTTATGTTATAAACAATATTTTGATTGAAAATTTGAAATCAATCACAGTTATGATTGGCTGTGTTTTAATTTTTCTAATAAACTGTTTGTTTATCTACAATATGTAAGTGTAGACTAATGTATTATTTTGGTACAATTCACTTGGTGGAGAAGATTTAATGAAGTTTGAATAAATAATGTAACAATATTATGAAATCAGTAAATATTTTATAGTGGAAAATGTTTCCAGGTATAGGGAATTCAAATTTCGTTACCGCTAAAAGTAATGACAAATGACACAGATGACCTTATAAACACAAGGCTATTACTTGCTTCTGTCCACAATAAAGTGGTTAGACCAAATGTTCTTTGGTAGTGTTACATTCCGTTTAAAGGCTCCTCCCTCTTAACAGCACTAGCAATACTGGCAGATAAAAGAGGCTCTGTTGAATATTACTGTAAGTAATTTTGTAAAAGTCTTTCCTGAAAAAGGAGATCTACAGTGTATATGCTAGTCCTATATGTTGATGATTTAGTTTCCATTAATCACGTTTGGATATTAAATTGTAACTATAACAAGGTCTATAAATACTTTATTAAAAAAAGAAACATGCAGAAGGAACATGTTCTAAAATAACAAGAAGCCAGATTTATCTTCTCCATATAGTGGTTGACAAGAGGCTTGACCATACCTAACAAGGGACAGGCATCCCAGTACTGTTGCAATCAGTTATTATAAACACGAAAGGTCAAAACTGAAACCGTTCCCAAAGTCTACCTCAGTACCTTCTTCTCTCCAGAATCAGAACTGACTTCATCAGTGTTAGAACATGTCATGCTGTTTTACTATTGAATGGCTTAAATGAGCATAGGTGGACTGTAGAATTAAGAAACTGCTGCCCGAAGTTATGTTCTTAGCAAACTAAAGCTTTCTCAAATGATGGTGCACATCTGTCTAAGCAATGCTGGGCACTGGGCAAGGTTGACTTTGGCCCGGGTATTCTAGGTTGGCTATAGAACCAAGAACAACAGTTTACTGTAGAAGAGTAACCCTTGTTGGGTTGTCTGTGACCTTGCAGTATTATCTGTGTGGGCTGAATCAGTTCTCCATAGAGAGCTTAACTTTACTGCTGGCACTGTGGTCTCACAATGTGAAAAACCAATCAAGATGCTGACAGTGCATGCACACAAGCAGAGGACATTTCTGTAGCAGTGAGATGAGCTATGCAATAAACAATTGGGAATTCCAAAACTGTAACGGAAGCATGATTCTAAATTCTAAAAGAACCAAATAAATGTACTGGGCGGGGCAGCTACATGTATGATGTAACCCTGATTTTTTCAAACAAGAGGCATGCCATGAGAATACAAGGATGGGAGAAAAAGTTAAAGGTAGTCTGATGCTAGTGCTATAACAGTTGAAATGTGATAATAAACAATAAAAGAAGAATCTATGCCTGCACAAATTGATTTGAAATACAGTCATACTGTATTCACTTTGCTCTAGTGGATAACAATTGTTGGCTATATTATCCAAACATGAATTTGGTACAACTGTACCATTTTTGTGTGGTCGGGGTCATCAGTTGTGGTACGCTATGGTACTGGTGCCCAACAGTATCCCCTAATTTGCTCATTCCACACTATGCTCTCAATCAATTATTTTCTGAATGATTTAAATAACTGTTATTTCCGTATCCTTAGCTAACTATGAGGCACTTCCAGAACCAACACTAAAAGCCCAAATCTGCAATTCTTTGGATAATACAATGCTTATTTATATGCAAACAAACATGGAACATATGAAAAACAAACACTTAAAAATCCAAATATAATGGCTCTAATTCAATCACACATACAGTTGGCATTCAAAATTGAAAGCTTTGTAACCAAGGAAGAATCTCATCAAGGCATTGCAGTTTTAATTTGTAGTATTATGTTACCCCTGAGGAGAAATATTTCATAAGATGCCTGATATTCTCCGGCCAAAGCTTAAAGGCATTTTGCATGTCTTTGAGACAGAATCATCAGTCGTAATGCTATCATCTGCATGGCTCTTGCCTCACAAAACTTTCATTTTAAACCCAACATGATACTTATATGATGCTATACATATCAGACTTTTATGAGAAGGAGTCAGTATTGCAGAGAAAGTCTACTCTCATAAGGGCTCAATGCTGCATTCGAAAATCATTATATAAGATAGTGCAGCCTCACTAATGTTGCCTGCAGACCTTAGAGCATTAACACAGGCATGCATGCACTCTGAAAAGATAAACAGAGCACTTATCCCATGAGATGGGAAAATAATATAAGTTTAAAAATATCCACTTTCTAACTGACTGAGCCATAAGAACGAAGGAAAGGTTACAAAAGAGATAAGACCATTCAGTCTATCTGGCCTATTTGGTAGCAGGTGGCTAATTGATCCAATGATCCAAGATTCTCTTCAGGACCCGGTTTCTGAAGGAAGTCAGGGTATCAGCTTTGACAACATGGCTGGGTAGCTCTATATTCCCTTAACTCTTTGAATAAAGAAGTCCCTCCTATTCTCAATTTTAACTCAGTTTCCACTTACTGTTTCCACTTACTGTATACCCGGTTTGTGTTTTACTGTTTTTTTCACTTTATAAATTTAGAATTTTGTTCATATAGGTGGCAGACTATGCTCTAGTATGCTTAGATCATTGACCCTGCTTATTTGATATTAAATTGACCAGTCTTTGCACGTCACTGTACTGAGCGCTTTTGCTGTTTTTAAACTTTTGGAGTGAGGTTTCAGGCAAAACCCAAAGAGTCACAAGTTAGTAATAAGTGAAAAACTGCCTATCCAAAATGTAAAGCAAGACAGCATGGCCAGAAAATTTCAAATCATAAGAAGCAACGCCTAAAGATCTTAACGGCCATCTCGGGAGAAATGGTAACACAGTCTATTCCAGTTTGCAATTCAACACCAGCTGATCGATCCATTTCAGATTCCACCACGCCTTGCTAAATGCAGCTAGATCTCTGCAACAGAAAGCCAGAGTTCACTTCCCCTTGAACAGAGAATATAATTAATGTTTTTTTCTCATACAGAATTTAGTTACTATGTTCATGAGCTCATTTTTCTCTTTCTTTTCTTAGTACACCCTATGTGTATACATATTGTATGCTTAGCATACTGTATATATTATTGCAGCTCCACTGTGAAGACGTCTTATTTATACACATTCTCAGAACAGCATTAGATACAGAACAGTATGTCTCTTAAAATAAACATATTGGCAAAATTTTCCCAAAACAATTAGGTAGGGGAACAGAAATTCTGATATTTTTAGATTTAGGATACCACCATGACTCCGATGACTGAATTAAAATTCTAAGAAAATGTATTTATTTTTACTGTTAAGCTAGTAATAGAAAAGGAAGTAATTCCAAAAATACAGTCTTAAACTTAATATCTGGTTGAAATATTTATGTTCCTTGGGTTAAGAAGATGCAGTGATGACTACTTTAAGTATCACCCTGACAGATGTGCAAAAACATCTATTTAAGTTCTCTATCAATACAATTTAAGGAAATAACCTTTTGCTTGCTAAGGAACTTACAGCACAAAATCTTTTTAAAGAGACGCACAAATATATTATTTAATGGAGGGATTCGCTACAGCTACTACTGTAATATATGAAATAGGGGATTAAAGTATAATTATTCCAATTTAACTTTTGTAAACTGTAACCTCACTCTATTTCTTAAGCACTGGGAAAATAAAAATACATCTGAAGATCTCACTGGAATATATTATTGTAACAACATCAAGGTTACAGTAATTTAGCTCTGTAAACAAAAGCTTTATAGTATTCGAATAAAATCTTCTCTCACTTATGACTGTATGCAGAGAGGGTTGGGGATCCAGTTTCCCAGATGGAGGATTGTGGGTTAAAACCCCAGACGGGCTAAACGGTCACAGCAAACCCACCTGTTTCTATGGAAAAAAAAACTTTTTTAATTTGCTTTGGACAAAACCACCAACCACATAAGTCAATATAAAGAAGACAGCAAAATTAAACCCATATAAAACACCGTAACTCACTTCCTGTCTGCATAGCCCCAGGTGTCTGTGTTCCACCTGGCGTTGGAGGCACAGGCCTGGGCCTCGGTTTTGGAGCCGGCACTCCCACCCGCACTGGTCCCACGTACTCCACGAACGTCCCAGGGAAATCCCCCTTCTCTTTCGTTCTTTCGTTTATCCCGTTCAGCCACCCATTGGGGCTTCTCTCATCCCCCTCTTGGTATTCAGGTGTCAACAGGGCCGTTTTGTAAACTGCAAGAATGTCGCCAGGTAGCAGAGAAATATCATCCCCTCGCTCCTTCTTGTACTCGAACAGTGCACGATAATGGAAAACTTCAGACCCCATTGTTCAAAGATCTCCTCAGCCTCCAAAATCCTTGGGAGTTAAAGTCTTCCTTCTGCAGCGGACCAAGCTACTGTATTTACAATGTAAAGTATCCCATAGATGGCCCTACAAAGCTGCCTGCACACAGTTGACAAGTTGAGGGAGTCTACAACCATACCATATGCTGCAGATGATTTTGATATTTTCCTGTTTCCGCCAGGCTGCAGATATTGTTATATTAAGCTCAGATTTGTGCAGTTTTAGGATTCATATGTAATCGATTGCTTCCATCGCAAATGACTGAAGCAGGCAAGCATTAACAATAATTAAGCAAAGGGCTGTACGTTCCACTTCAAAAATAGGAATGTGTTAAAAATGAAATGGAAATCTGACAAAGAGATAAAAGGAGAGTGGTATCACTTCACAGGCAGAGTGACCTACAGTACAGTCACCCATCAAATGTCACTTGATTCTGCAGAGGTGGCAGTGTTCCACAGCTGAAAATGAAACATTTCCATAAAGACTCCTCACGGTTTTGTCACAGGTGTTGCCATTTAAAGCACATTACTGGTTACTAACATAAATCCACTTCAAACAATAAAGTACCAGTGTTCCACTTTCTTACAGTCCATAAGCTCTTGTCTCTGAACAGTATCCACAATATTGCCACCAGGACACCTGAAAATTGAATCATCATCATCATCATTATTGTTGTTGATGTTATTATTAGAATTGATACTGTTGTTCTTAATTACAGGATTTAGAATGTCATTTAATTGAGCCGAAATGTATACACATTTATAAATCAATTTTTGTAGATTCCTAAAATAATGCAGATATCACACATTTGTTAAATGCAAAGAATAAACTGAAAATCTAGTTAAAGTTTCCTTGCTTATTTATTAAACATCTTAATGGTTAGGGAACAGTCATTAAGCGTACGCCGTTAATACGCAGTAAGTACACTGAATTCATAATCCTTTTGAAAAAAAATACTTTATACCATCCGAGTTTTTAATGACACATGGCATAGGAATACACAAATCATTAGGCGTCTGATTGGGCAAATAACACTAGCTAACTTCTATGGCATGCTGCAACTCCAGGGAGACAAAAAGAGATGATAAACTTACCACTTTCTGAAGCGACAAGCTGCTTCTATCTATAGCCACGTCTGCAATGCATCAGAGCAACCCATGCACGAGACAGCTTGTAACCTGTAATAAATGTTATTGTTAGGTAAGTTGACAGTGTTGAAATGGACGTCTGTAGGGTCTCGCTACTAAGTGCCGCTACTAAGACCTGAGAGACCTAACGCCGCTGTACTGTACAGCATTTATACGATGATGTCAGAAACCACACCCCCGACGTTCATATATTAATCTAGCAGCAGAAACATCATCATACTGCAGCGGCTGCAAGCGAGACAATAAAACGGCGTCAGTTAGACACCGTTTGTTTTGCTGTTAAGAATTATAGTAAGCATACTACGTATTTCATTTAACAATACAGTTCTTCTACAGTACTTCTACAGCTTACATTCCTTCCCTATGGAAAAATGCATGCAGTAAACAATATGATAAAGGTGAAAGTACAGAGTATGTTCATGTAACTATGCCCTATTGTGTAGAATGTTCCAAATTCTTTACGGGACGGTGCTGGTACCATTAGTACATTACTTACAGAAACCTGTGGTGTACAGTATGAGTGATGACAGCACAAAAACATTTTTTATGGTTTCTATACTTCTTCAAACATGTTAAGACATCAAACATCTTATTCTGTAAAGTGGATCACAAGTTAACATTTCAGATCAGGTGTGTGAATAAAATCTGAATAAATATATTTCTAAAAGTAAATTGTGGGAATGATGAATGATAACAATAACATACTGTATACCTGTATATGTTCAAACAAGAGGATGCAAGTTTATCTAATTAATTCGAGGATTTCAGCCATTTCCAGCCATTTTATAAAGTTTTTCAGACTCACTGTCAGGTTCTGCATCATTGCTGGGTTGTTGGTTTCAGACGTCTTGCAACACATTATGCAAATAGATGTGTTCTATTCTCAATGTCACATTCACTTTCAGTGCAACAATCCTATTCAGCAATTTAGAAATGAAGTGTTAAAATGTTAATGTTAACTTAAGTTCGAAAGTGAATAGCAACAACCCCCACCCCCAAGAAGAATAATCTCACTGTGTTTGGAGCCGAGAATCAGGCAGAGCTTTCTTTTCAATAATTTAAATAATTGACCATTCTTGCGTGTACAGTATGTGTCTCAGAGATGGAGAAACATGTTCTTAAAAAAAAAAACATATGCAATTTGACCTCAAGTGGAATGTCATCTTTGAATGCATTCCTAAGTAAGTTTATGAATATTGGATATCAAGGGAGAAATGACATTGATTATTACTAAAAAAACATTACTAAATCTCAGCGTGTGCCATTGAGTTGCATTTCTTTTATACAGTATGTGTGGGCTTTTAGTACAGAAATGAATTCATATGCATACCATTGAAACATTAATGTCATGTGCAGAAATTTCAGTAAATTACCAGTGTACTGTATATTTGTAACTTTTTTAAAAAAATAATCTCATTCAGATTTAATTGGATCAACATTAAATCTGGTAAGAAACTTTTTATGTTCTATTTAATAACATCTATAGAAAAATACAGAATATATGAATTTATTGCCATATGTAACCAGTACATGTACTGGTACAATGGAATTCTTACTTACAGAAAGTCTCTTGATTGTTAAAAAAAGTGTAAAACACAAAGTGCAGACAGTGCATGAAGACAATATACAAACAGTAGTAAACAAGTAAACAGTTTGACTGTAAACAATGCAGACATGTAAACAACGACTGCAGATGTGCAATAAATAAAATTATAATGAGGTACTGTAGATGGTGCAGGTGTGGTACGAGGGGCATGGCCAAATGTGTTTGCCAATCGCACTGCTTGTGGGTAGAAGCTATTGAAAAATCTGGTGGTAAGTGTCCGTATGCTGTTGTATTTCTTGCCTGAGGGCAGTGGGGTGAAGAGCTCATGCCCGGGGTGGTGACTGGTGGTGACTGTCCTCTGTGACATATGTATGTATACAGTATGTATCTAAGTCATTTGATCTAGAAACCTTCCTAAATAATGTCCCTCTCATTTGATGAATTATTATCATGGAAACACTGAGCTGTTTCAATAGATGGGATTAGAAATGAAGAGAGGTAAACTCTGTATAAAGAATGGTAAGATATTTTCATAGATGTTGGAGTGCAACCATGACTACTGTCTATGCATTGGCCATTTTGAGGTGTCTGATCCTGTGTGTAGTCCACACCAATTACCGAAGAAGACATTAATTTAATTTTGCCAATCTGTCTTAGTCTTAGAAGGATAACACCAATGATAATGTTAATGGCTACACATTCAATGAAACAGGTCAAAATGAAAGTCATGCAACAGAGGCTGGAGTTCAAATGTGTAATTCATTTAGAGCAGTGTCTGGTAAAACCAGCCAGACCATTAAGTGCTTATGCAACTTCACAGTGGCAGAGATCAATACCCTAAGCTGAAAAAAAGTTAAGCTCTAATCAATAGAAACTAACCCTAAATGCTGTCCCAGCTGAATCTCTAGATGATTTCAGGTGTTAGGCCTTAGATGTGCTATATTTTAGTGATGTACAGAAAATAAGTGAAAAATTATTTTAAATCCCAGCCTCATAATTACATAAGGAAAAAAAAATGAATCTACTTAATAACATAACTTAATAAACTAACCTTTCTAATCATACTGCTTGGAAATCACTCAAAAGAAAACAAAGGACTAAAACTAAATCTGAAATATATCTTTATACTGTCTGTGAAATGAAAGATTCTGGGAAATGCTTGTCCTCAGCATGGGTACAGGATAGCCCATGATAACCCAAACAACATTTTCTTATAATGCTGGCTGAGCCAAAGTAAATTTCTATTTTGTGGAAGAAAGGAAAACTGGCTAAATGCCATTCTGTGGCCCATCTTCTCCTTATTAAGTAATCTTCCTGAACTGAGACACAAAATATTGTGATATACTTGAAAGATAATATCTAAAATGCAATATGATATTGGCAGAGACCACAGTCAAAAACAGGCTAAAACAGAACAAAATACAATTATATTATCCTGAGTTTAAAATAAATAAATGTTTTTCTTATTTTGATGATGAAATGTAATTTGCAAAATATAAATTGGAAGTGGACACAAAGCGGAAAATGCATGGTAGCAAACTAACATAAAAAATTGTCTAATATCCAATACCATCTTTTTTAAATTATTTTGTGTAGCTCCACACTGCAAGCAAAGCAACACTCCTGTCCAATTCATTGTCTCAAGCTTTGTGTTGAAACAGATCTTACCGACCATAAAGGGAACTGATAGCTGGCACTTGGTATGCAGCTGCCTACATATCTAAAACCGCATAGATTGCTGATAGCAACTTGGCAGACATCCTAAAAAACAGCACTGTCGAAGTGCGCAAGTGCTGTAAATTCAAAGAAAGAGTTGTGGTGAGTATCTAAATTAAAAGTTTGTGAGCAATTTTTCTTGTGTTCTCCTCATGAACTATATTCAAAAATGTGGCTATGATGTAATTGTTGAAGTTGGTCAATGTCTGCTGATATTTATTTGCCCCTGCGAGAGTAATGTGTGCAGATGGAAGAAACATGGTAAAAATATAATATGTTCTAATGCTTTGGATAGGAAAATTTGCTGTTAGAATTTAGGACCTTAAACAAGACACCTTCAAATCCTCTCTTTATGACATTACAGTATATGAGTGCAGAATGCAGCTTAACCACAGGCTGGAGTAAATGTTAGTACATTACGTGATTATTGGTCCATTTTTCAAACAGGCACACCACATGGTGTGTAATATATTCGCTATTTCTGAAATTTCTAATTCTGAGATAGCACTGAAATTGAAATATATGAAGACATTAATATGTATGCCTTCATACTGTTACATCCACACAGTGTGATGTTCTACCACCTGCATTTCCCTCTCATTGTGTGCAGCACTGCTATTTCAGGTCACAGTTTACTGCACTGATTAAACCCTTCTGTGTGGCCCTGTGAGTCAGCTCTTCTGGGGCTTATGTAAGTGTTTAGCTGATCATTTCCTCCTTGTGTAAATAAAAAAAAATCTGTCAGCCTGAATTAAAAGATACAGAATCTTTTCCATTCTGAAGCTAATAAAGAAATGCAATACACATCCTACTGCGTACTGGAGGATGGCCCATCCTTTCAAATCTGAGATGGAACAAATCCCACATTCTGTGAGAGAGTATCAAAGCATGAGCTCTTATGCCCCAGTTAGCTTCACATGCCATCAGAGATATTTAAAAACACATCTGTTTTTCACTTTGTTCTTCATAATCAGACCAGCATTGTGGCAAAACACAAACATGACCGGGACTGCACCAGTGAATTCTGTTTTAGCCAATATTCTATTCTACAAATTGAAGTCAGACCTCAAAAGCATACATGTGTCACAATTGCTATTCATACAGTATTTATCATATAGTCTGCCTCTCTGATATATCAACAATAAAGGGTGACTCAGAAATCTGCAGTACAGGAGCTTGTACTATTCCTTCTTCATCATTCTGAAATTATTTGTCCTGATTGTTATAGAATCTCCAAATATAGGAGCTTATCCTCTTTACAATGAACATAGTTTATGTACCAGACTGCCAGGTAATGTTGCAGGATCCTTTAAGAAAGAACCTAATGAAATCCAATCTATTGAAATCCACAGTACATGCAGCACAATACAGTATCTACAGTACATGCTTCTGCAAGGGCATTTTTAAGTAAATTACTCGAGGGAGCATTTAAAACTTTACAGCAGTATTTTGTGAAGCTGTCCTTGAATCAGCCAACACTTGACTGTTTTACAATTTGCATTGAACTTACATTTGCATACAAAAGAAGCACATGCCATACATTTTTTAAAAGATTTTGAAATAAATTAGCAGATCTTTTGTAAAGAAAATTTAGACTGTCAGGAGGCTGCAAAAGATACTTTTGATAAAAACTGTACACAAATTCTGGTAATAAGCCACAATGTGTTCTCAACACAAAAATAATATCAATAAAAATACCAATGCATTATTATCCTCCTTATTTTCTGCATTCATAAACATTTCCTTCACTGAGACATTATTCTTCAGCATTATCCTAGAGTTTGACTTAATAAATTAAGTACCCCCTTTTAGCTTGGTCATTGTGCATACTACAAACTAGCAGCACTGAACCAAGTTTTC